CTCTGGAAATCTTCAGTTCCACCCGGAGTCAGCTGCTGCCCTCGACACATTCCCCAGCCCCCGCAGGCCGACACCTCCCGCTGGGCGAGGCTCGCGAGGGGGGGGGGGGGTAACTGCCTGATGTGAGTCACTTGAGGGCAGCACCTGCCTCATGTCCATCTCTGTACCCCAGGCCCCCCACCCCGAGGGCCTAGGGTGGCAGGTCTCAGCGAGGGTCCCGTGTGTGAGCTGTGAGCCCCTGAGGTTCCTACCGCTCCAGACACCTGCTTTTCAGATCTGATTTCCGGGGGGGTTTCAACACGCAGTCCTCACACTGTCCCCACCAACATTTGGGGGCACGGGGTGCTCATTGAACATGCAGCTTCCGCCCGGCCGGGGCAGCTCAGCTGTTGAGCATCAACCCGGGAACCAAGAGGTCACCGGTTCGATTCCCGGTCGGGCACATGCCCGGGTTGTGGGATTGATCCCCAGTGTGGGGCGTGCAGGAGGCAGCCAATCGGTGAGATTTCGCTCTCGTTGATGTTTCTATCTCTCTATCCTTCTCCCTATCTCCAAACCAAGCATGTCAAACTCAAGGCTCGCGGGCCACATGCGGCCCACAACGAATATTGTTGCGATGTGAGTCACTTGAGGGCCGCACCTGCCTCATGTCCATCTCTGTACCCCAGGCCCCCCACCCCGAGGGCCTAGGGTGGCAGGTCTCAGCGAGGGTCCCGTGTGTGAGCTGTGAGCCCCTGAAGTCCCTACCGCTCCAGACGCCTGCTTTTCAGATCTGATTTCCGGGGGCTTTCAACACGCAGTCCTCTCACTGTTCCCACCAACATTTGGGGGCACGGGGTGCTCATTAAACATGCAGCTTCTGCCCGGCCGGGGCAGCTCAGCTGTTGAGCATCAACCCAGGAACCAAGAGGTCACCGGTTCGATTCCCGGTCAGGCACATGCCCGGGTTGTGGGATTGATCCCCAGTGTGGGGCCTGCAGGAGGCAGCCAATCGGTGAGATTTCGCTCTCGTTGATGTTTCTATCTCTCTATCCTTCTCCCTATCTCCAAACCAAGCATGTCAAACTCAAGGCTCGCGGGCCACATGCGGCCCACAACGAATATTGTTGCAGCCCACCCGATACAACGGTATGTAAGAAACGTTTTAATTAAAATTTCGTAACTTCATTTTTACAATCTCCTGTTATACATAATTATTCATAACGAACTACACGTTCGCTAATGACTGATGACTATCATCGTGTTGCATTCATTTCCCTTACGCGCAGGCGCACCATTTCTCCCCACTGATACCAGCAGCGAATATTTTAGCAGCCGATGGCCAC